GTAATCTCTCCTTTTTTTCTTTTCTTAGGCATCATAAAAGTCAGTGACTGATAGTCAACATAAAGWAATATTAAAATTTCAATGATTGCATTGCTACTGGTAATCACTGTATACACTCTAGCATAGATTTTTCTTAAGTAATATGATCAGCCTTATGCAAAATCAGAGTTTCATTWTATRTTGTGCAATTAACCATTTAATAAAGAGACACATCCTGAATGCAATTAAAAAACTGAAATATATATTGGCTACTAAAACATACCTTCATAAGARACTTACTTATTTTATTATCCATTAATTCTGTCTTCCCCTGTCAAAAATTCRGATCCAAATAGGTCATTAAGACCCTGTTTAAACTATTTTTTCCAATTTGACATAATTTTGTTATTACTTTAAAGACTTKTGGCCATATGTAGATTATTAAATCAAGCTCAACTGAATTATTCTTTCTTTGAAGGTGATTTTTTTTTTTTCTCTCAGAGAAAGATCCACATACAGTACACTTCCTCAAGGTCAAAATAGACTGGCTGTATCTCAGCTATCAATTGGGAGTGGTCCCTGGCCCCTGCCAAATCCCAAACCCAGCCAATGAATTTTTTGTGACACTGCTGCTTGGCACAAGTCATAGTTCACAGAGGCTGTTCAAAAACATGGTACAGGGTACATCAGTCTGAATTCCAGAGCCCAGTAATGTTCCAGGAACCATTTAATTGCCAGTGTGCTTGAAATCCTTGTGTCACAGTGTGTTCCTTAGGAAAGAATKCCTATATGGGGCATCARTCTAACAACTAWTTCATTCCAGAAAATGAGCATTTGCATTGTTTTGYATTGTTACRCAATCTCACCTCTTGATCCTCAGCTGTTCTTTCTTGATGAAAAAAGGTTTGCTCATGGTTTTTTTTTGTGCACACATGTTAAGCAGAGAAACTTTTCCTCAGAATAATCACAGCCGCATGTCTGCAGAGTAATGGCTGATAGATGGGGAGGGCTCACCTTTAACTTGCAGAGACTCACATGCCAAAACTGGAAGCCTGGACAAAATGGCTGGGSTCCATTACGTTTTCAGTCCTCTAAAAGCATATTTGGCAGTCCTGCCTCATTCTGCTGATCCATGTCTYGTTCCAACATTCATTAAACCTTTTATTGGAATTTATTTTTCATAATGAATGACTCTGCAAAGACACTTACTTTACTTGAATTATTTTTACTATCACTAGAGAATGATGTCACATCTGAGCAGAATGAGATCTGTCTGAAGACATTTTGCTRCACTGAGAAATGCTGTAACAAAATGTTGGTGCTCTTGGGCTGTCAGATTGCTTCTGTTCAAGTGACTGGAATATGGATATGAGGAGAGGAACAGTCATGAGAATGGTATTTCCACATATTGCMCTCTGTGATGGCATTATTTCTGTCCCTATCCATCTGGAATATTCACTAGTCCGAAATGCCTGTAGTAGAATCAAAATAATGATAATAATAATTATTATAGTAATAATTTTACACGATTTTTCTCTTTTTACTCAGAAATATAGATTTAGACACTTAATATATTAAGGGTGCTCCAGACAAATTGAATCAGAAGAACAGGGAAGAAAGAAAAATTACATAATTTGATATTATCATAAAAAAWCAATTTGTACATAATATTCAAACATGATGTTTTTGACACACATAGAAAGACATTTCCTAGATTGAGAAAAGGTAATTAAAGTTTGTCTTGTATTCCTCATCATGCAATAAAAATAATCTAAAATATTAATAAACCAAGCCAGAATWAATTTCTTCAAGACATCTCAAGCAATTTGATAAACACTGATGACAGAAGTTTCCCAGAGCTTGAGGACTGTAGCTGATTTTAAATGAAGCATTCATGTTAACATMTAGTGTCCTAGTCCTTCCATTCATCCTTGCAGCCTATTTCCTTCTTTTCAGGCTGTGGAGGAAGGTACTCATGTCTTAAGGAGAAGTTTTTTTTTCTCCTGGTGAGAGCATTCCAGTGAGCTTAAATCCAAAACATTTCCCTATTTCAGTTTTCATCAGATGTAATTTGCTGTCAGCTGTTTACAATACCATATATGAAGGAGATACCTATAGCACAACTACATGGACAGATTACAGATGGAAATGTTGTGGATCAACTGCAGGGACAGCCTAGCATAGAAATGCATGCACATTTTTGTTCTTTCAAATACATCTTTTGGAGAAATAAAAACCAGATTTTTTTTTTTTTTTTTTTTTTTTTTTTTTTTGTAAAGCAGCTTAAATGAACTTTTGTGGCTTATCTCATAGTGGAAAAACGAAGGCTACACATTTGAAATGAGAAGCAAATAACTGTGCAGTGCTCTTTGTGGCTGCATTTTTAAAGCTGTGAGATAAGTGTATGTCCAGTAATAATAGAGGTAATCTGGATAATAACTTCTCGTGATTCATGGACTAATCTGATTGTCCAATGGGAGCATTAAAAACATTCTGCCTTCCTCTCATTTACATCATGGATATGTGTCCAACTGGCCACTGCTGGAGTCAAGATAGGAGACAGCATTAATCCTAATGGTCTGCTTTGTTGAAGCCAATCCCTTATTTCTATTTATGAGTTGTCTGCACTAGAGAAAACCACTTGTGCTTTATAACTTAAAGAGGAGAGGAAAAAGGGAAAGGAAAGAAATTTGACTTAGGTTATCCCCTTTAACATATTTCATCAAAAGAATGGATAAAATATTTATTCATCTACTGTCCTTTGCATTCCCATCAAAGTGAATAGAAAGACATTTAATAAGACATGGARACATTAAAGAAGCCTTTTATCAGAGTGGATGGGAACCTGCTCAGAACAAACATTTTGGCCTAAGGGAAAGTTTTTGATCTGTGAAGCTGAAGCTTTTCCTGCTTAAAACRCTCTCATATTGGATCATGTGGTCAATTTGCATGAAATAAATGATTTGCTTAAAACTTGTAAAGCTATAAAATAGAACTTGACAAGTCATTAGCAGTAAGTGGCATCAYACTGGCATTATGAGCACACTGGTGCAATCATTAGAAAAATGCTGCTACAGCAAAGAGCAGGAAGATAATGGGGCCAGCCTACAATGTGACCTAGAAGAGTTAGATCATTGCCCCACGCTGTAGATAGCACACTGCCATCCAAATTATTGACTATCCTTCTTCATTACTCATCTTCATTGCTCAACATTCCCAGGCACTGCCCTTTATCCTCTTTCACACAAAACAATTAGTCCAAGCTATAAAAATTTAGATTTTKTCTATCTGAGTTTAGGTGGTCTAGTTTTGGAAAGAGGGTAAAAAAAGGGAGAAAAGAATTCAGAAAAAGAAAATAACTAATCTTTAGTCTAGGATTTTGATCAAATGTAAAAGAAAGAATATGATTACACATAATTCATTAATTGTTATGTTGGGTTTTGTTTTCATTCTGAACTAGAATTTAAATCTATGAAGTTTCTGTAYGTTGACAGAGGTTATGGATGGAACTTTTCTATTCTAGTTGGCAACAAAGGTATTCAGCAGCTCATTAGTTCAGTTTGCAGCTTCAAAGATTTTCTTTTTCAGACACAAAGTGTTTAGAAAATCATGGCTAAACATCTGGATTCCTGAGGTTTGCCTAACATTCTTTTTAAGGCTATAGTAATTCTGTGATGAGATTRGTAAATATCCACTTGGRTTTATTGTYAAGACAGGAAATACGTGGAAAATGTAAAATTATTACCATTTGTTGCAAAGWRCCTTCAAYAYATTGGTTTTATCAATCTATCAACATTTTGTCAGCRGCTCAGGCACAAGTCKAATTCRAGCAGCTCTCTGTGTGATATTTTATACAAATTACTGGATGAACAGAACCACATGCTTGCAAATTATGTGCCTGCAATTGTACATATGCTGATGAGAAGCAATAACATTAAGACCTCGATGCTCAAATCCCACTGATGTCTTCAAAATGATGTTTTTCTCATGCATTCCCCATGAGTATACACACCTTTGCAAAATGAGAGGGGTAAGTAAGATACTGCTATTTCCAAGGCCCATTAAAATCTTAATTTCTCTTCTGAGTCTACCATCAAGCATGAGGCATGGCTTTGAGTTTCTGATATGAAGTTAGAGCTGAGATTTAACAGCCTGATTGCACRTGGACTCTGGTGCAGTGAATGTATGCTGGTGCATATGACTGAATCAACATTATATTTAACTACTTAATTTTATTTCTAAGGTTATAAAAAAATTGTACTTTCCAAATGAAAATGATAGGAGAGCTACTGAGATTAAATGCCAGTGAAATAACTTTAAAAAAAATAAGTAGACTGCAAGTATGTCACAAACTAGAAAATAAGGATATCATGAGAGTACATTAAATATGTTCGTGAATCTCTGGAGAAATTGTCATAAATGTTTTGTACAAATCATGATATCTGCACAGTTCAGAAAGCCCCATCTGAACACTCTGAGACAGTAGAGGTGTTTCAGTCAGCAGCTGGAATCAGAACCTCATCAGTGTTTACAACGCATGACCTGGCTGATATTGGCTAATTAAGAATAATCCTTAAGGATAAGAAACATCATCATTTTTGCTCCTGGTGTTTCCAGGAGCTCATAATAAATGGACTTGAGGGAGCAACTGCAGATCATTTGTTTGACAGAAGAAAATAAGACTTTATTGTAGAAAAGGCATCATGAATATGTAACCTTATTATCATATTATTATCTTTCTCTTTTGAGTCTAATGAAGAAAAACAGAACTGTAAGTATTTCAGCATWTATTTGAGTCACTTGGACTTCATTTACTTCAAATGTGACTCTTAAAAATAAATTACTGTATTTGTTGAGAAATAAATTTCCTTCTTATGGTGTCTGAAAGGTAGTAGCTTTCATGCACAATGTAATATTTTTAACATGAATAATTTTGAAGGGAGCTCAGCCTCCCAGTCAAATGGCTCAGCCTGTTGGTGAATAAATTTTCTGTGCTTCTTAACCTGTATATTTAGGTGCAGGACATAAGGAACTCGTACCACCACCTCGTCTTCTTCTGGAACACAGTCCAAGAAAGAAACCTGCAGCTACTGAAGGCAAGTTTGAGTTTTACCACCTCTATTGGCTTCTACTCATTAACTTGACTGTCTGTTGTAATGGATATCTTTTTGGGTTTGTTTTTTTTTGTTTGTTTGTTTTTTTTGTTGTTGTTTTGTGGTTTTTTGTTGTTTTTTTTTTGTAAATATAACCCATGTTAGAAAAGTGATCACATTTCTAAACCTGAGACAGGAATGACACACTGACAACTGACATATGCATGACAAGACCTAAATATTCCGTTTACTGGTTCCACAGATGGCTTGGGGGAATTTCCTGAGTGAAACAGATTACAGGATTGAGGCCTAATCTGTAAAATGCTTTAAATGGCGTTCAGCCATAACTTGCTAACTATAAATATAATCAACATTATCCTCTTAATACACTTTGGATTACTCTTTCAGCTATTGTTATTCAGTAATGTTTCCGTGCATTCTTTGCAAWAATGAACATCATATTTCTGGCTCTGCATTTATCAACCCTATTGCTATTGTTAAAACCACTGAAAGAGAAATACAAAGTCAGATTTTACCTTCAGAAGATTAAAATATAATCCCTGAAATTGAATTATATTATTTATAGCCTAATCATTACATAAAAAGTGGTTGAAATATGCATTTTAATTTTAAAATGAACTATGTCCAATGATTTAGAGCTACTGCTGCAATATACATTCTTGGTCTGTACACCATACAATTTAATAGTACAAAACACTTGAGTCTTTTTGTGCAATTATGTAGCAGTTTTCATACCATAATTGAGTCCTTCAGTCACACCATGGCACTTGCTAATCTCTCTCATAGAGGTCTTAGTTTYGTGTTATCCAGAAAGCAATTGCAATCTAAAAGAAAAACAGATGGGGTGACAGCAGAATAAGTAACAAGAGCTAGAAGACTTCCTGCATTTGAAAACAGAAAATGAGACTCAGGTTTTGGCAGGACTCATGACTGAAACAAAGTGTTACATTAATTAGACATTTCTGGAATGTGGTTATTGTGAATCAGAACATTTGGATAAAAATAGTTGTGCAGCTATTATCTCTTTCCTCAAAATCTCGTTACCTCAAATGAATATTTCTTTTTAAACAKGCTGTTTAAAGGAGAATAAAATTGTGGTTATTGTGACACAGTATAGCATATTAATAGATTTGCAGTCCTGCTTATTTTAAGAAAATGTTTGAGCCCAGCTTATCAGCAGAAAGAAGTCCCTGCAATGTTAAACTCTGCTATCTGCCAATTAACCATCATGGACAAAAGACATAATAGAACAAGGCTGCCACATTTGCCGTGTGATAAACCTAATCTTTAAATATAAATGTTATAAAAGATGAACTAGCATCAAATTAACACTGGGTTCTTGATTTTCAAAATCATGAAGAGTGTGCAATTACTGCAATTGCACATAGAAATGGCTATTTATGTCCAGTTACACATTTGTGTGTTTCATCAGCTCATTTCTGTGTGCAATTCAGGTAATTGAGAATGTGAATTAGACACCCATTTGGGAAACAAATTGGGGTGGGAGAGATTATCTGCTCAGAACCATATATATTACTACATTCCCTTTAAGGCTTAAGGCCAGTCTCTAGAGAGAGAGATTTGGAGGCAATGAAGAAGGCAGAATTACTTGTAMAATGTTACTGTTAAAAGCTGTTATGTTGTTCTAGCCTGTGTTTTCCACATATGAGTATGCCACAGTGCCTTAAGGAACCCTAAAACTGAAGCAGGAAAAAAAAAAAAAAAACTGAAGAGGGGAAAAAAAAGTAATTTATGGGAATATTTGGCACAATGTCAGAAGGGAAAAAGAGGAATAGGTAGACAAATTTAAATCTTTGAAACAGCTGAAAAGACATCTGCACTAAGACTTCTTAGTGCTTAGATAGCTTTATGACTGGTACATCACTAAATATCAGTGATCAGGAGAAGGGACAGATTGAAACAAAAGATTCTTCTTATAAATAAATACAATTGAAGAGAGYATCATAAGTTCTCAGAATAGAGAGCAAATAGAAGCATTTGTTAACTGAAAAATATACTTTATATAACATCAAAGCCTGGCTCACCCTCTGACAGAAGAAACTAGCTCTGAAAAAAGGTAAAACTGAAGGATGTAACAGAGTGTTTRCCACACAGAAAATTTATGAAGCCAATCTACTTACACCCTAGGCTTTCCAACTCAGCRATATTCAGACATTATATATGTAGCCATGCAGCTGGTGAAGGCTGAAAGGATCTTACTCTTTTTCTAGATTGACATGTTTTCAGTATCACTTTACTTTGCCACTGCTGCCTTAGGTAATCTTGGACCATTCTTGTTTGCTGATAAGGTGGAAATARTGGTGTGTATGTGCCAGATATCACTAAAGTTTTTAGATTATTCAATATCTTCAAATAGAAAGCTTTTTTCCTGGATAGTATCCAATGCCCTTTGGAAATCATGGTTTGCTGAATTCTTGAGGTCTTATAAAGAGAGCATATTGCTATTATGTATTAAATCTAAAACTTTCTCTCATTGTCATTGCTATTTTCTCTTCCCTCACCTCCATGGTAAATCCTTCAGGAAAGGGGTAATTATTTTAAGACCATCTCAATTTGTACACTGTATTCGAGTAGTATGCAATAAATTCCATTGAGGTGTGTGTGTGTGTGTAAGTTGAAATTTTCAGATATCTTCTGTTCAAAAAGCAAAATGCTTTGTACTTATCTGGTCAGAAATAAGAAGAACAGATAATTTCTCTCCTATTTCATGGCTGGTTGACCCTTTTCAAAGATCTTACCTTCAAACTTCAATGAAGAGTTTGAAGTTTCAGATCACCAGCAGAAGAATAAAACAAAATATAAGATCCTTTAAGAGTGAACAAAASAAAGAGGGTAAAGGAATTTGTGAAGATAAAGGTGTTGATATATAACTTCTACYTGTATTTCAAGCTTAGAAACCTTCTTTGGTAAACTAGGAAACAAAAGAACTAATTTTAAATTCTTTATCTTATCTTTTTCTGGAGCTTTCACAAGTACTTGGAAGCAGTGCTCTCAGCTTGGCTGACACTKATGTTGCCATGTCAGGACACTGGTGTCACCAGTCGTTTCAACAGATCAGTTGTCCATGATTTTGACTTTAATATGCTTCCTCTTCCTTGATTGTAGTCTTCCACACCTCTTTTAACTCCAGATTTCTTGTATTCTGTTATTCACTGGCATCCTAAAACTGCTCTGCAATTGATTCTCTGTGAGTCTCTCTCTCAGGTCTGGACTTTTTTGCTCAGCTCACAGAGTTTTACTTTCCTCCATTTCCACATTCATCTGAAAAGGATTTCGTTTTCTAACAGTCCTCCCATGTTGTCCTCTCTGAAAAGGAAGGGTGATCTCTTGGGAGGAAGCTGCAGTTCAACAAGTGTCAAAACTAAGATCAGAGGCTTAGCTAGCTTCATGTTAATTGTTCCAAAATAGTATGTCTTTGCCTTCTCACAAGAACAAAGCACCTTTGTGAAAAGTCTGTATCAAAATCCTTCTCCTGGTGGAAAGAATCTTARTACATGTTGCATATGATATCAGACATAGGCTCTGTGCCATTTGAAGAGCACTGTATCCCAAAAAAAGGTTGGAACAGCATTGTATCTGAGTACGATTTTTCAGGCTATATTGTCCCAGAAATCTACTCTTACATCTTTGAGTGGGACACCATTTATCATGGAAGAGTCATCAGCTCAAMCATTTTGATCTGTTAATGAATCATGACAAGCTCTGAAATATCCCCCTTCCTTGACTGAAGTTTACTGGCTGTTCCTTGCTTCTATTTGTGATATTAAGAGAGGCAATCCACTGCTCCCCCCCAAAAAAAAACCCAAAACCCTAAACTCTGTAACATCTTCAGACGATCTATGGGGAAAAAAGTTTTTTTTTAGGTCACTGAATCACCTAATTACAAATTTTGCAGAATGCAATAAAGTGARTTGCTGWGAAATGTGTTTAACCCCAAAACTCYTGTGGAGGATAAATTGGCAACTGCATCTATGTTGCTACATAAAATGTACACTGTCTTAAGAAGAATTTCTAGTCTATACCTTTGTTCATGAATATRACATTAGGGGAAGTAACTAAGAATATCTAAATTACTGAAGTCAACACAAATTTTGACAAAGCTCCCTTGATGTACAGGAGTGTAGAAACCTTGTACAAATCAATCTGCCTCTGTCAATGTCTGTCTTCTCTTCTGTACGCACATTCTTCTATAAAAAACCTCGGTTTTTCTTCTGTACTATAGAATCAATTACCCTTAAAAAATCCTTCCAGTGAGAGACTGTGATTTAAAATACAACATAAACCTTTTTAAAAGGCACAATTTTGATTTTTTTTTCCCCAATTTAGAATATTCTTAAAAATACTGTTATAAGTTGTCAGTAGAAAACCATTTTCTGATAAATTTTAAACCAAGAAAGAATAAAAACAAAAAAAAAATCCTTTTAGGATTTTTTATCGCAATACAATGGCTTAATCTAGGTTAATAGTTGAACAGTTCATTTAGCTTTAACGCATTGTTGTGTATACAGCATAGCAAGTTTTTTGAGAAATATGGGCCTTGTACAGACTCCGTGAGTCTGTACTGAAGACAGTAAAACCGTTGAAACAAGATGAAGGTTTCAAAGTGAGCTATTTAGTGATTTAAATTAGGCATTTAAGCAGTAAATTCTAATGATTTAGCAATGATGAAAAAACTCCAAATCTTCACTGTTTCAGAAAGACCTTGACATTTTCCTTAATGACATGAGGCTCTCTGTACTACTTTTTATTCTATAAGATACAATAAGTTAAACAGATGTTAAGAAAAGCTTACTAGAKTGTTGGAAAAATATGTATAAAGATATGTATATTTTGATTAGACATATTATATTTTCTCATCATTTATAATAATAACACAATTTAAAATATTAGAGTATGGATTTGAAAATAAATATTCACCCAAGTYTATCCAATAAAACACAAGCAAATAGTTCTGAAGATTA